CCCTGGGCAGGGGGAAGGAAAGAGAAAAAAAAGCTTAGGCAGGTGAGAGACTGGGAGAAGTGAGGGAGTGAGGAAATGATCATGCGTCGTCTGCTACAATATACATGTTCCGAAACAGGGATTAAGTCCCGCCATTCGATAACCATTCACGCCATTCGATAGAAAGACGATTCAAGTACCATCTGAATCGTAGATCATTCTGCCACATGATGCGCGGACGCAGCTGTGCGTATTATGCGAGGGAGGAGCCATGCCCTAACAATAATTATAGAGCGGAATTTTGATCCAGGGGGGTCAATTTTTATCTTTTATATGTACCTTAAGTAAAGTATTTAGTTGTGATCGAAATGCAGGTGGCGACGGTGCGGGTTTGAGCATGAGCCTCAATCCGGCACGAATCTGCGCGTTCCACCGACCGACAGTCACAAATCGGATAAGAGAGTAGAAACAGCCTTGGAGACAAAAAAAAAAAGCCAGACGAGGCTTATTTCATGCCGCAGGCTTCTGGTGTGAGGATTCCCCGCCGGGAATTCAAAAGATCCATCGTTTCTCCTGCTAACTTCGTATTCGAATGTATTCAGTGTTAACGTGGAAAACTCCGTCGTTGGAGGTGATTCACAGACAAGTGTGCCTTTGTCTCGGTTCGTGAATTTCGCTTTGACTTCTTTTTTCTTGCTCGTGCAGTTCTCGACTGCAGCAAACTCCAATGGCATTTTACTCATTTGGGAGTAAAAATGTGAGTGGTGTCATGTATGCTCTGAGGGTAGCAACATTAAATTCGTATTATTTGCTGTCCTGTCCAGTTTTTGTTTTAGTCGGTTTTATTTTTTATCTGACTACCTCACAAACGGTTTTCCCTCCATCCACCTCTGGGTCTCCCATCAACAATCCTGACTTTAATTTATTTACTCCCTGATTCCAGCAATTTCTGCCCTATCCATTCATTACGTTTAATAGAAAAATATGTCATTGGCGGGTTCTCATGACAAGAACAATCACTATCACTGTCATGACCAGGGAGGCCCGTCACTGCGATCGGGCATAAATGCGATCTAGGCTCTAATTGTGATCGCTTTCGATAGTCATCGTTTGAAGCTGAGGTACACCAACACTCTGGCCCGCGCATTAGATACAAAATATCTTGGGATGTAAGGGAAAATCATCGAAATTATATATCAACTCTTGCATTCCTCCTCCCTTTCATAGGTTAGAGCAACCTACGGCCCGCTCGCCACGACCTTGGTCGGGCTGCGCTAAATTTTCCTTAAATGAATTTTAAAAATAAATTTTTCTTAAATGAATTTTAAAAATAAATTTTTCTTAAATGAATTTTTAAAATAAATTTTTCTTAAATTAAACCTGGACAAATTTATCTCTTCCTCACAGCAGCCTCGTTTATATCGCTGGAGTAGGAGAGAACTATGCAGTTTCAGTGTTCTTATTGTCTGCTGTATGACCTGACCTGCGGTTGTCTAATAATTGAGCCATTACGAACCGTCGCCAGCGCGTGAGGTGGCGGGTTTGCAGACGCAGAGGATTTGGTTCGGACTTTAGTCCTCGAGAATACGTTAATCCTTCTCGTTGAACCAGCACGCGCGCCCTCCGTACCGCCTGTCCTGTTGTTTTATGTTGGTGGAATGAGAGGGCGGGACGTGTTAGTCGTGCTGCACTTTTTCTTGGCTCTATTCGGAGGCTGGTGTGTGGTAGCATTAAATCCCAGCAAGTTTTAGCTGGTTAGTTAACAATATTTTAAATAAACTATTGTATTTGATGCTATGATTATAATTGTGTGTATTATACATAATTCAGGTCAAATCAAACATGATGTGCATAAAAATCTTAATTTTCATCCCCCTTCTGCACCTCTGTTATATTGAGCGCTCATGCGGTTATGATGAAAAAAAAAACCAAGAACCCCTCACCCCTTCCGGGGTGAGGGTTTGAAGGCCCCACACCACAATCCCTGGTAATCCGCCGAGCGCCAGGCGGAGGAAAGCCGGTGTGTACCCAATTTACGCCTGGGTGAGGCGGCGACCAGGCTCGAAGCCTGGCCTCCCGGACGGCACGCGGACGCTCTACTCCGTAGGCCAACCGCCGGTTAGGAATGATCTGTCGCGATGGGACTACATGTCTAGAATCCGTCTTTGCGCGAGTGACGTAGGAGATAGGGCCTCGGAGGCAAAAAGTGCACGCACGTCTCCCCTTCCCAGTTCTCGTCTATTTCGGTGTCCGAGAACAACATCGTACCGACTTCGTGTCTGTTTCGAGGTGATTCGTTGTCTCCCACGTTGATTAATCGTCCTCTGCAGTACTGAGGTATGTATTGCTCTGGCTTGGCTTTTCGCGTTCTCTTCTTCAAGATGGAGTTGAGACAAAGTAAAAGTTGTTATAATCCTATTGATGAAATAGGAAAAGTTGAAAAGCAACATTTCGTTCAACAATTTCGAGAAACGTTACATGAATCCATCCATTGAAGTCAACATACCTCTACCTACTTTTATCAAGTCTTTAGTAGGTTCAACCACGACTGTGAAATGGCATTACTAGGTTGTACATATCATGTTTCCTCGTGTGTTGATTAACGGCGTTGGTCACGCCTATCTATATGAACCTCGAAAATCTAAAGAAAGAGGTTCTTGAAACGACAGTGATGGACGCATCCAAAACAGTTTTGATGCCAATAGAGAATATGCATCAACCCTGCTCAAGAGCAAACTTCTTTGCAGGTTTATTTATTCATTCCATTCACATGGAATTACACATGGAATCACATCAATCATACTTGAAATAAGGATGTAATTTATTGTACATTTACTAGGATGAGAACGGAGAACAATAGAAGATAAGCCTTTCCTAGAGTAACGTAGCGACCATAGATTTTTCATTTCCGGTTCATTGAAATATGAGGATCACACCGTACGGTCGGAGCCTGTAGAGGATGTTCTCGTACAACTTCTCTGGCTTCATATAATGAAAGGACACAGCCGTTTGGGAGCAGCAGGTAGGTCCACGTCGGTGTGGATAAACCACGTAGTTGGTGAACCACTCCACGATGAACCTTTCTTGCTTCGGAATTGAATCCAGACCCAAGCTGACGTCCTCGGCACTTCCTAAGAGAGGGCAGGACATGGGATTTGGGAAGACTCCGTTCACCAGTCGGTCCGGTGCCTCGCGGCCCGTACGTATATTTATTGATATATATATACGTGGCAGTCGTTCGCTCAAGGAGCCAATGGGGGTCGAATGAGAGGGAAATCGTGGGCACGAGAAGGGTTTGTGTGAAAGGGGAAATGGTAAATATGGGGGTGACAGATCGGAAATTGCAGGTATAAAGGACGACAGGATGGAAATTGCAAGGATCGCAGAATGGAAAATGTCCCGGAAACTCGCGTACGGCACTTCAAAGGTCATTAAGCTTATAACAATGACGCAGGGGAGACCGAAGATCGCGGATTACGGGATTTGCCGGAGGCTCGGTTTCGTCTCGAAACTCTAAAGATTGTCGAACGAAAGAGAGAGAAGTTTCCACTTTAATTCGCAAGGTCACAGTGGCTGAAGCTGAAAGAGAGAGAAAAAAAGAGGGAAATCCAAGGGAAAATGAATACATATTGAATATTGGGTAAATGTTTGTCACCTTTTTCTCTCCACATGTGAATCGTTGCAGCCAAATCATGAAAGCAACCAATTCTTGGTCTGGAAATTTTTCGAAGCCATTGTCTACTGGATGACATTTCCATTTCGTGAATCCTCATCCCGACCTGATGACCTGTCAAATGTCACGATGCGAGGGACATAAAAAATAAAAAGTAGAGAGAGTAACGGCTACAATGAAAATCCCGTAACGGAAGTCAATAATTATACGATTTAATTTCTATTCACAAAGTTGAGAATGAAAAACAATTCCAAGAGATCGAGTATCGAAGCGGACCCCGAATCCTCATCTTCGCCGCTCCGGTCCCGCGAAAACAGGGGACACGCCGTACGGCCGGAGCTTGTAGATGAAGTAGTCGTACTCGTACAACTCCTCCGGCTTCACGTAATGGAAGGACACTGCCGTGTGGGAGCAGCAGCCGAGTCCACGCTGATGCGGATAAGCCGTGTAGTCGGTAAACCACTGCGGAATGATCCCTTCGTGCTCCGGAAGTGGATCCACGTGATTCCAAGTGGCGAACGGGAGGAAGCGCCATCCACCATGCTCGTCCCGCGAGTCTCCGCCCTCCACCCCGACCGCCGCCAAACATACCCCTGGATGTAATATTATCACCGGTATTCACGAGACGTTGTGATTCCGATTTAGTACTTGAGTTACTAAATCGAGAATGGTCAGCTTTTTCATCTTGAGGAAACCAAAAAAAATGTTTGAGAATCATGACGGTTCCAGGTCCGGTTACCCGAGTAGTGAATTTAGGGAAGTTCCAGTGGGGTAAAATGAAACAGGGTGCCAATTTTTTTTAATATTCCGCCAATGGGTGTTCGAAAGCGTCTTTTGCTGCTATCAAACAATACGTTGCTCATTTGACAAAATCTGAACGGAAGTTAGAGCGATTGGATACGTAGAATAACGTGGGGGAAAATGAGAGAGAACTTTTTTTTCTAACGGTTCGGTGATTTTGGGTGACATGCATCGGATCGCTAAACTAATCTGATTTCATCATTGTGAAATTAATGAAAATGAATCTGGTGCTTGTCACCCTGTTACACTCAGGTAATCAGCCGTATTCGTACTTGTACGTAGCTGGTAATTAGCGGCTTTTAAGTATGTTGACAGGGATCAGGGATGACTTCATTAATCTCGTCACGAAATGGATGAGGAGAAATGGGGCCGCTTTGGTGAATTCAGTTATTCGACAACCATTTCATGAAACGGCATTGAAAGAATTTCCCTCCATGGAATTATTCGATTCCATGACGATGAGAAAGGGTTCATGTCTCGAGCTCAGTCACCTGATTACTTTCATCAGCTCATAAGAGACAGAGAGAGACAGACCAACGTTGATGTCTTCGGCTCCTTGGAGGAGGGGGCAGGTCATGGGATTGGGGAAGGCTCTGTTCACCAGTCGGTCCAGGGCCTCGCGGCTCAGCACGTAACCTGAGATCAGGTGACGAATCTCAGGATATATTGGGCGAAAATATTACAAGAATCGAAAGAAGGAACATCACTTTCTGACATCAAAACGTTATTTTAATATTTTTTAACGTTCACTTTCGGCCTCCTTTCTCACCGAGACGGCTCTTGCGATCTTCGACGAGTCCGAACCGCGAACGCGATCCTATCGGCACGGGTCGGAGGGTGACAGCTGTGGATGCCGTCGAGTATCCGCGACGTCGGAAACCGAATTTCTTTTTCACCGTTACGTCATTTTCTTTTCCGTGAAAGGCTCACAAATATCAGAGGGATTCCGCAAAACGATGGAGAAAAAGACTTGTAGGGCGTAACATCCGATCTGATACTTTCTGGCCAATGGAGTGAATTTCAACCAACAAGAATAGGAATTTCATGTAAATTTCCTCACCGGCTCCTCCACTCATGTAGCCGTACTTGGCGTACGGCTTGAACTTGCAGCCGAGGTAAACGGGTTCCTTCGGCTCGTACGAGAGCAACAAGAAGCGGAGATTCTCCACCACCACGTACCTTTAAAAACAATGTATAAAAGCAAAAATTGTATTTTAAAAAACCAAGAATGTATTGAGCACATTTTAATGAAAAAATACGAGCAAAGTTGTGAAATTCGGCACGCTCAGGATTTACAGAGAATAAAAAATCTTACCGAAAAAGTAAAATTCAGGTTCCCTTCTTGAAATTACATGCACATACATTGTAGCTGCCAAATTCATGTGCATGGGAAATAGAACGTGAACCATAAAATATTCATATTTCCCGTTTGTAAATTCCTCATCGATGAATTCTACGATGGTGGCACATAGGTATTTTTTCCGGAAAAAGAGGTTTCTAGCCTCCCCCATCATACATTGAAGAGTGAGTGGGTGCGGCTACCTCCACAAACGAGCCGGCACCGAAGCGAGGAAGGTCTCTCAGCGAACGGAATGAAAGGGGAAAGTGGTTCAACTGTCATTTGTGCATGACAATATTGCGTATGATGTGTATTTGCCTCTTGTCTTCAGACACAAGTGAGGGGGTTGACCATATATCGGCCCGTGGACAGAATGGAGACTGAGTGCATTTCATTTTCGGCTATCCCTGAGACAGAAAAAGCGCAATTTGAGCAGCAACACTCAGATTAGGACTTCACTGGTGTCTGAATTTTAGAAAATCCAATTTAAAAAAAAATGAAATTTCTTCATTTAAGAGACTCTGCGGTCGATTGCCCTCCATCCGCGACCGTAAGTTCGCTGATGGTGGAAATGACCGTTCGGGGAATAGGCGGACACTTTTTTAAATTGCTGTCAATAGTGGCCTTCTCGGGCCTCGCTTCAAGCTACTTCATCTAATTTAAAAGTTATGGAGCTGTTCAGAAGAAATGGGCTACAATCCAAAACCGCAAATATATATATATCTGATACGAGGGCCACTCAATAAGTTACCTACCTGAATATGAAAGGGATGAGCAACAGGCCTGTGCCTGCTGTGACAGGTCTCGTGAGTGCCCCACCACTATACCAGCTCAGTGGCTCAAGTCCGTTCAAAGTGGTAGC